CCTACTACAGGGGGAGCTTCACGCAGCAGGAATTTTCCTCTGTTTTGCCCGTTGCAATATCCCCGGCATCTGGACACATTCCTGGCAGTCGATCAATATTTATGAATAAAATGAAAAGCAGATCGAGTGAATCTCTGTTTGCTGCAAGTGAAATAACCTAATAGAGTGAACACAGCGGTGCCGCGGGGTGAGGGACTTGTCACTGGCTGTCCGGCCGTTCAAAGAAGAGACCACACACGGAGCCCACTTCTCAGACGTTTTATTTCTGGGACCAAATTTGGGTCACAGCTGCAGAGAAGGTGGACTCTGGACCTGAGGAAGGAAGCACTGGGGAGACAGAGGTGCAGTGCAACTCTCACCCCGGTCATTATGGGAACTGTCTTCAGGATCCGACCAGGAGGACCTGTCCATCCACTGTCTGGGAAGGGGGGCCTTGATTCCAGGAGACTGGGGGCGGGGCACTGGAGAGATGAACAGCCTCAACATTTTGGGGAAGGAAGTGGCATCTGGAAGGAGTGTTGGGGTCCCTGCAGGGGTGGGGACTTGCAGGGGGCGAGGGAGGCCAGAAAGCCGGGTCCTAGGACGACTCATGAATTAGACTGGATTGTGTCCTGGATCCACTTGGAGAACCGGCAGAGGTTGGTGTAGACGCCGGGTCTGTTGGGCTGGGCGCAGGGGAAAGTCTCCCCAGGACACAAGGACCTGGAGGGAACCACTGCAGACCACGGGGCCTCCGGAATCACCCCGTGGAGGAGAGAGAGGGGCACAGAGAGGCGGCGATGTGGGGAGGTGAGGGAGGGAGTCATATAGATGAAGAAAGACCAGGGCAGCAAGAATAGAGACGTACACAATGACAGCGAGGGAGACACAGGTAAAATGAGACACAGAGAGAGAATATTAATATTTCACCCCACGTTCACCCTTTGGAAACCCCCTTTGTCCGTCTCTAGCCAGCCCCCAACCTCTCTTCTGTCTGTCTTCCTCATTGTGTGTCTCTGTGCTTCCTTCTATTTCTCTCTCACTCTCCCTTCCAACCTTTGAATATTGTGTTTCTCCTACTGGACACCCCTCCCTTTCCCTTCCTCACTCTTCACTCATCCTCGACGCCAATCCGCCTTGACGTATACCTCACTTTTGCAGAGAGGCAATTCTCAGCCCCTGGGTGAGGGGTTCTCACCCTGGGCACCGCCGACATTGGGACCAGATGATTCTTTGCTATGGGAGGGTGTCCTGTGCCTTGTAAGGCATTTGGCAGCATCCCTCTACCCACTACATGCTAGGAAACCCCTCCCTCCCCACCAGACAGCTGTAAGGATGACGAAAAACATCTCCAGGCATTGCCATACATGCCCTGGTGGGTCAGAATTACCCTGGGGTTGAGAATCACACCCTTGGACTAATTTAGGTTGCCTGTGCTTAATTCCCTATAGCCCCCTGTAATTACCCTTCTGTAATAATATTCAGCACTCTTTGCCGTCATTTCTTATTTATGTTTATGCAAAATACCTACAACCTGGCTTCTTTCCTCATTATAATGCCGTCATTTTTTGTTCGCCCTTGTTCAACATCCCTGCAGAGTTTCTTTTGCTCGGCAGGTAGTTAACTGCTCTGAGCCTTGGCTACTTGTTAAAATAGAGTTAATAATAAAGGTTAAATGAGTAAATTGAGCTGATGCATCGGAAACACTTAAAAGAGTGTCTGGGGGCTTCCCTGGTGGCGCAGGGGTTGAGAGTCCGCCTGCCAATGCAGGGGACACAGGCTCGAGCCCCGGTCTGGGAAGATCCCACATGCCGCGGAGCAACTGGGCCCGTGAGCCACAGCTACAGAGCCTGCGCGTCTGGAGCCTGTGCTCCGCAACGGGAGAGGCCGCGATAGTGAGAGGCCCGGGCACCGCGATGAAGAGTGGCCCGGGCTTCCCTGGTGGCGCAGTGGTTGAGAGTCCGCCTGCCGATGCAGGGGACACGGGTTCGTGCCCTGGTCCAGGAAGTTCCGACATGCCGCGGAGCGGCTGGGCCCGTGAGCCATGGCTACTGAGCCTGCGCATCCAGAGCCTGTGCTCCGCAAAAAAAAAGAGTGGGCCCCGCCCGCTGCAACTAGAGAAAGCCTTCGCACAGAAACGAAGACCCAACACAGCCAAAAATAAAAAAAAAATTAAAAAAAAATAAATAAAAATTTAAAAAAAAAGAGTGTCTGGCAATTAGTTAACTGCTATTAGTGTTATGGCATTAGTATTACTGTTATTATTTCTTGCTTTTAGTGGCCACACCCAGACCACACTCTGGTATGAAAAAGCCACTGGAGGTCTAGGGGAAGAAATGCAAGGTACTACCCTGGCTACAGAAAGGCTAAGTGGTTTAAAATGTTGACATCCAAATTAGATGTGCTTTCTTCCGATAAAAACCCCTCCACTCATCCCTCTCTCCAGATGTGGGTGCTTCCAATGTTAAGTGGGGACAGAGATTAAATTGGGAGATCTGGGGAGTTGCTGCAACTGTCACATTTGTAAGATTTGTGGGGTTGAGTGGGGTGGGTGGGGAGATTTTCCCAGCCATCAGAATGGGACTGGAGTGCTGTCTGAGCCCACAGCTTACTAAACACCAAGATTACTGAAACACACATCCTGCCAGCAGAGAGCTTGTTAATTTACATTCCTCTAGACCCTTTGGGGACCTGAATACAGGGAAGGGTCCTGAGCTGTAACAGTTTAATTTCTGTCATCCTCAACAAATAAAGCTCCCATAAGAATATAAAGAACGTCTGTACTGGGGATGAAGAAATATTTGCTGGACATTGGGTCCCACTCATCTCTCCAACCTCAACCCCTGTCCCCGAAACATGCTGGCTCTTTTTTTTATTCTTTGAATCAGCCGTACTCCTCCCTGCCTCAGGGCCTTTGCACGTGCTTTTCTTGCCCTTAACCTTTGCAAGGCTGGCTCCTTTGTGTCATTCAATATCTGCTCCGATGCCACCTCTTTGAGGCCTTCCGAATCACCCTTCCAAATACTGCCCCCCCTATCACTTGCTTTCATAAAACTATGTTTTATTTCCTGCACAGCCCTTACCACTCTCTGAAATTACCCTGTTTATGCAGTTTCCTGACCATAGGATTTTTTTTAACCTTTTTGCTATTCCAACAACTTTGTGGTCAATCCTCTCTATTAAATATTTTCGTTTAAAAATACGACCATGGGTTTCTGTTTTCCTTCTCTAAGACATTTTACTAGCATTTGTCAGAAAACTTTCACACTACAGATTTTATGGGAATGAGACACTTCAGACTGCATCTGCCTGAAATGTGCCAAAATAACTAAGACAAAACTGTGATGTATATTGTATGAAGGGTGGCCCTTAGATGTGATATCTTTATTCAGGGCACATCCTGCCCTTCTATACAACACAGCCTTGATCTCTCCCTTGAGACCTGTGCTGTCTAATACAGTGGCCATTAGCTATATGGGGCCCTTGAGCACTTGAAACATGGCTAGTCCAGATTGAGATAGGCTGTCAGTGTAAAAATACTCACTGGCACAAACAAACCAAAAACAAACAAACAAGGAAAGAATAGAAAAAAAAGAAAAAACAAATAAAACAAACAAAAAATTACACACTGGCTTTCAGAATTACTATGAGAATAAAAGAATGTAAAACATTCCATTCATAATTCTTTTATATTAATTACCTTTTGAAATGATGGTACTTGGGATACATGGGATTAAATAGGGTATATTATTACAATAGTCAATTTCAGCTGTTTTTTACTTTTTTTACATGTAGCTACTGGAATGTTTAAAATTACACGTAAGGACTTCCCTGGCGGTCCAGTGGTTAAGACTCCGTGCTTCCATAGCAGGGGGCACAGGTTCGATCCCTGGTCATGGAACTAAGATCCCACATGCCCCACAGTGGGGGGGAAAAAAAAAACCCACAAAAAACAAATAAAATTACTTGTAAGGCTCACATTATATTTTTACTGGACAGCACTGCTCCAGAACATGAGCTCTGTGAGCACCGATTTGATCATCGCAGGGTTCCCAGCACATAGCAAGGCTCCAGGTGACATGGTTGGTTTCAGTGTGTATCTGCTGAATGAATGGAGAAGTCTCTAGCCTTACCTTGCAGGAGTCTCTGCCGGCCTGGTCACCAGCACAGAACATAGTGCCATCTATCTGATTTGGATAGGCCGTCTTGCACGTGTCCTCACTTAGCACAGTGATGTCCAAGCACTGGAGGACTTCGGGGTAGGTGGCTGTCAAACAGACAAATGCAGAGCAGGGCCACAGTGAGTGGTGGAGGAAGATGGGAAGGGGCAGAGTGCTCAGAGACAGAGAGGGGGAGAAGGCAGATATAGGCGGTCATCGAAAGAGACCTGAACACTCACACTGGGGACTGTTGGTTGTTTCCCAGCCAGACGCCAAGCAGCTGGTCCCAGCAGATGGACAATGGGAGATGTTGATGGGCCTGACATGTTGAGTCTCCCCGATTCTTTTGTTCAGTTTGATGAGCATGAGGTCATTGGAGTGGCCGGGGTGGGAATAGCCAGGGTGGGGGATGGATTTGACCCCCTGAAACAGCTGCTGCCTGGATTCATATATGGGTGGCAGGGAATGGTGGCCAAGACGGATTCTGAAAACTCTGAGGAAGATGGTGCCGATCACGACCAACTCTGGTTCTTACCCCCATATCCAATGTCAACCCCAATGCCAAACCTACTCGCAACCCCAATCTCAGCCCTATCCACAAATCCATCCCCAACACCATCTTTATCTTCAACCCCATGCCTATCCCCATCCCAGTCACAACTGCAAACCCATCTCCATCCCGTCCCCAGCGCTAACCCTAATCCTTTCCCCACATAGAAACCACCCACATATGCAGTCTCAACCCCAACTCTATCTAACCATGCCCAACCTCAAAGCCAACCATCTCCAACCCCACCCATAACTCTAATCCAAACCCCATCTTCAATCCTACATCTATTCTGAAGCCCCACCCTATCCCAATTCCATTTTTATCTCCACTCCATCCCAATCTCCACCCACCTCTAATTCTAGGGCCAAACCTAATTCTATCTTCATCCCAAACCATCAGCATATAACCAAACCCAAATCCAACTCATGCTCGACCCCAAACCCCACCCTAACCGCAGCCCCAATCTTTTACCCACCTCCAAATCATCAACGTATGCATTCCCAACTTCAAATTCAGCCATCTCCAATCCCATTCCTGTCTCTAATCCAACACCATCCTCAACCTGTCCCATCCCACCTCCAATTCTAAAGCCAAACCAAATCACATCTCTATTCCTAACCATCCAGCATTTGCATTCCTAGCCCCGAATCCAATTCACCCCAACTCCCAGCCAGTACCACAAGCTCCTCCCCAATCTAACCCCATCCCCACCCCAGCTCTACCTTCCCCTGCTTCCTCATCCCCGTCCCATCCCCCCCATCTCCATGC